GATGTGGTTTCCTCCATATACCCTGCCTCTGAATCATGTTCTTTTGTCTTTTCTGCCGAATTCTCAACCATTCCATTTTCAATGCTGAACTTTGATCTCAAAGTCGTGTGCTGTCTTTTCAAATCCAGTTTTTATAATTGTAGACATGAATGTGCACGAAGTGGAGGCGTTTGGAAAGGAAATGTTGCGAGCCTTCCATGTTGAGTTATTTGTTCACGGTAATGCAACCGAACAGGTGAATAGTTTTTGTGATCGCTTCTTTTTTCTCCTTTTTCCTATCTTTTTCACAGCTTCTTTTTCCTATCCTTTTTCATAGCTCATGAAGAACGAGCCTCATTCCATTAATTCCTGTACACTTCAGTTCGCTGCGGACGGTTGGGCGTGTCAGGCAGTATGAGTGTGTCACCCCGTCAAAGCCGTTCTCTGCCTTCTTGTTGAAGCGCGCATGCGACAAAAAGTGGTAGAAAACGAGTAATACGAACGATATGATACAGTCATATCATTTGCTCGCTTTAACAACTGGTGGAGAACGGGTTTGGCACCGCGCCAAACTCATCCCGCCTGACACGCCCAACCGTCCGCAGCGAACTACACTACAATAATAATAATCTTATGATGTGTTGAATGTGGCTCACATCGCAAAGGACTTTGTAACACAGTGTAGAAATTAAGTTGAATGGAAATATTCGCTTTCTAGGAAGCATTGACACTCGGACATGCAGTGACAAAGACGTTGCGTGAATCGTCCAAGAGTCGTCCACTATTTAGAAATGAATACACTCCTATGAGGGAGCACGCTCTAGAAAACGGTGCGTTTTAGGTTTGAGAATCCATGTTGAGGTGGTAATGATGACAAGTAAAGCTACCAGTGGCCAAGTAAGGTTGTCAGTGATTATAGCAAAGAAAAACATCGGTGACCAGGGTCATTACTGAGGAAGGTACCAAGATATTACGGTTCCGATATTTCCCTTAATTTTCTTTTGGCTGTACTCTATGTAGAACACTTAGGTAATAATGAAAGCAGTCAAAAACTTGTTTTCATGACTTGATTCTCTCAATTTTTGTGTTTTTAGGGGATGCTTATGTATATCGACATTTCCAAAACACTCATGAGGTGTCATGCGTTGAAGTTTTGTACCAAGCAGGAGTTCAGGTGGGTCAATTGTACTTTAACGTTCAATTATCCTAGTTGCTTGTTATATTTGAGGCGTCTTTGTTCCGCTTTGTACAATTTTTTATGTGGTACAAGATGTAGGTGGTTTCGTTAGTTCCGAACCGCGGCATTGCGCTCAAAGTAGCAGTTTGGCTTGAAGGGCGTGGTTATGGGCGGGGGAGGAGAGGGCTCTACTCACTTTCGATAGTTCCCATTGTCGTGCTCATTCAGTTACAATAGTGGACAGGTACCATTTAAGAGATTTCACGGATCTCTGCTTGATGGCTTGTCACGTCAATATACAAAACGCCCCTTTCTTCAAGCCGAACTGCGCTTCTTGAGCTTCCGTAGCTAGTTGACTTGATACAACGCAACACTACCAATTGGGTCTTACTGAGGGTGCCCCGCTGGCAGCGCCCCTTTCGCCGCGACTCGAAACAAACGATGTACGCCCGGTTATATGCTGAGCCAGGAGGATAAATCCAGTGTTTTCACTTCAGGCCACGCGGGAAAATGCTCTAGTTGAGTTACTAGTGCAGCTTCTACGTGAACCAGCCTTCAATCAGCTAAGAACAGTGGAACAGTTAGGTGAGTGATGCTTCGATTGGATTTGGTCTAAGTTCGCATTTTTCAGTATTTTTGAATATTTGAAAAAAAGAAATCAGGGGTTTACGTATCGTGATGAAACAGTGATGCGAAGATTTTCTGGTTAAATGAGTTATAATCAACTTGTTTTCGCATTAGTAAAGCTTGTAACTCCATAGCTTCACTATTGGCAGCCGTGGTAAAACAGCCGGCTGATCGCTTGCCCCATCGGTTATTCCCTGCACTTTGTCCGGAAATCCACTTGAACATACGTTCGAGATCGCGGTGTGGGCGGGGCCAGTGAGCGTTTTTATAGCGCGCGGCTACATATTCCCTCCACTTTTTCACGGTACCTGCTGGCCAAGACGTCGTGAATGCCGCAGCTGTGGGCATGGCGGATGCGACTCGCTACGCGTACTCTCGTCATTGGAATTTGAATACCAAAGGAGACATAAAATTCGGAGCATCACTCGGCATGGCAGGTCATAATCGCCTCGCACTCAATTGAGCTCCACTGATCCACGCGCCACCGAAAAATCTGTCGATGTGCGCGCGCGATCGGAAGCGGGCTAGTTACGATTGTTTCGTCGCGTTTCCTCATCTTTCACCTTCGTTGAAGTTTGGAACAGGGGCGCACTGTCAGATGAGTTTGAATGGTGCCGCATTGCTACAGTCAATAGGGTCTGAACCCTCCAATAACTAAGTGGTCAGGTAGGAATAAGGGGATCCAAGGGACGTCAGAGAGTTTTGGTAGAGTGGACAACAGGATTGTCTTATTGTACATTAACAGTGACTAGACAGACGCGGCTCAAAGATTGTCCTTCGACCTGCAGTTGTTATCATAGCTATTGCGCAAAAAGAGGAAACCATCGCTGAATAGGTGCGAACACTAAGAGTGCTTAGAATATTAAGGTGATTAAGGACGTTTCGTTTGCGCTGTGAAGGGTTCATAACAGAAAACGATTAAGATGCTGCGAACTTCTCGGACTGCAGTTTATTGTGCAAGGTCCTAAGAATCCCGACTTTGTGCTAGAACGGATAGAGGCGTTCCTCGAGAAAATTCGGGTTAGCTTTGGAATCTGAGGGTCTGTTCATACATTGCGTCGACGTTTCGAGCGTTTTACAGATTGTTTTGAACTTTTTGCGGGCAGTCGCTGAAGGACGCTGCCGTACGCTCAATTAGAAACAAAAAAAAACAAAATCTCCAAAGCACAGATGTTCCGTTTCGACCGTTATCGCGGACGTTTTCCTGTTTCAAAACGCTGCTGTATGCTCAAAACGCTGACGCTAAGTATGAACACAGCTCAAGTTTGACTAGTCAGTAGCTTTTGTGCCCCATCAATATTTACTGTTGTTGATTCTTTTCTGACCTTAACCCTCGATTCCTTTTTAGGAGGAGATTGTGGACATGCCAGATGAGGAATTTGAGAAACAGAAAACGGGTCTTATCACTCGATTACTCGAAAAACCGAAAACCTTAGGAGCGCGGTCAAGACGATTTTGGAATGAAATCGACTGCAGGCAGTACGATTTTGACAGAAGTGAGTTTTGAGATAGAAGGCAGACGCTTTGCCTGGCGTTGCTCGGCGTTCCATTAGAGTCTTAAAATTCACTTGAATTCTTGTTATTACAGACAACTCTGAGGTGGAAGTTCTCAACACGGTCACTAAGGAAGATCTTCTCTCATATTTCGATCGCAAGTTTAGCCGTAATGCCCCTGAAAGACGGAAGGTGAGCTCCTGCTTTACCATCCTCACAACTTTACCTTTGCGTAGTTTGTGGCTCTGCTTTCTATGGGTAAGAATTTTGCGATTTCTTCCGCTGTTGTGCCTGACCCTTTTAAGACCCTGTAATCCCCTGTTATGTCACGAACTTTTTATTTTAGAAGTTTTACATATCCTACACAGTATGTCCGGTCAGCGGAGCACCTGAGTTAGTTAGGTAGTTAGAAGTTAACAGTTCATATCGTCGCATCAGTCGGAGCGGTGTCAGGGGGTGGGGGCGGAGTAGGCCCATCTCCGGTTGCCTTTTTCTGCCCGTGGTCATTACTTCTTTCATTTAAAGAGGGGAAGAAATCAAGCCAGTAGTGGTGTCAAACGATCGCCGTTCCTCCCGCAGCGCATTCCTTCTTTAAAGCTTGCCGGGAAGAAACCCCGCATCTTGACTCACAACTCTTCTCTCCCAGCACATAAATCCATCCAGCATGAAAAATAAGTGGAAAAATGAAGTGCGTAATGAAAGCTATACCATTTTTTTACCACAGAGCCTTACAAAATCACCCATTATGCTGTCGGGACTTATACAGAATGACCCCTTTCCCCGGGAACAGAGTTACATCTAATTTGTTGCAGCATCTTTCATCAACCATGAGTGCGGCCTGGTGTGAAGCTAAAATTATTGGGGGGACGGTCAAGACAATCATAATTAGCGCACTATCGCGCGCGACGATGAGCGCGGCGTTTTCTTTGCTTGATCGCGCGCGACGATGAGCGCGGCGCGTTTTCTTTACTTGCATTGGCCTGTCGACTGAAAGCAACCGTCCTTTCGAATGTGGCTTATTCCTGATTCGGGTTATACATTGTCTAATGTCGCAATCTACAACCTAGAAACATCGCCATTTGCAAACGCGACTTCGCACGCGACGCCTACCTGCGCGGCGAGTGACAGTTGTCTTGTCGCATTCCCAACATTATTCAGATTTGATCTAAATACAAAACAGTGTATCATTGTTGAAGGCTCTTACAAGCCCTTCTCAGGTTGCTGTATTTGTGCACGGCAAAGACGATCAAAGGGATGGAATCGTAGAAAAGACCAGAGCGAAGAGAGAAGTTGCTGGCAAAGACCAATTGGTGAGTGACGTTTTTCGTGGTTTATTTTACAAGCCTGGTTCGCTGCGACATGTAAAGAGGGCTGTCAGGGGGTGCATTTGGCCGCGCGCCAGAATCCGTTCTTTCTGCGAAGCCTGCAAATAGTTATGGCCAGCGCTCGTGTAATCACGGGTTTGCACCGGCAGAACCGATTCCCGCTTGACAGGGGCCCTTCTCATCCGCAGCGAACGGACTATTGCATCAGCGTACAATAGTTTTCCTCTTACCGAGTGCGTTTCTCTTCATATTCACCGAAAAAGAAAGCGAATTGCCGATGGATTTTTACAATTTCAGGAAGAGATTGAGTGTATGGAGCAATTCCGACAGTCGTTATCGTTGTACGGTCGGCCACGACCAGAAAGCCTGATATCTATACACATTTCGTGTGAGCCGTTGTCAAACGTTGCTGTGTCTGGGGTGGAGAATGCCGAAGTCGAAATACTGATGTAATGAGCCCCTATTCACGTAGTATTTTTATGTTTAGTTCGTTAATTTATCAATTGGTTATTGTCTTGCCTGTCGAGGGATCCACTTGTTGCTATTAATCACTGAGGCATTTCGTGTATTATTAAGATGATTTTGATTTTTTTTTAAGAAGATTACTGCGTGTTGATAGTTCTAGTTGCACGGATGATCAAAGGCATTTTTCATTCAGGCTCTGAGATGTTTAGGATTTGTTAGTATGGAAGTAATGGCCTTTTGTCAGGCTGGGAGAATAAAAATCGGCTTCGACTTTCTGGCAGTACCACTGCTGTAGCGAAGCGTTCGAAGAAATGATTTCTCCTTACAGGTCCACAGTCCATAGATCATCTGAAGGGGAGGGAGCTGGCACCCGAACCACGTTGGAATGTGCCCGCCGTTGTGGCTTTGGTGGTATTTTTTGTCGTTTTTCGGCTAACGTACCAATGTGCTTGTCACAGGTGACGATTGTCTCGAAGGGAATCATTCTACTACAAGACAGACATCCTATGTCATATTTGAATGAAGTGGGCAGCCACGCCCCCCCCAGGCTCCCACCCACAGCTTCGATATCGGGTTTGGCTATTAATGTAAACCACGTGAGCGAAGAACCAATCGTCCCATTTTTAGAGCGAGAGGAAAACTTCAATAAGAGAAACTAGTTTTTGCTTGTCTGTGAAAAACCCGACGCCGGAACCTTGGACGGGGGTGGAAGGAAGGGGTGTGAAGTTCTTGGCAGAGCTGGGATAAACTTACCATTAGTAAGGATGGAATTACTGAAGCTGAAACTGGTTCGCATGTCGTGGAACATGTTCTTCCTTTAAGTTCTTGTAAAAGCTTCGTCAGTGTTGTGGTAATCACGGTTTCCCAAGTAAGCCCACCATCGGACCCCATTCTTCGTTTCCATTGCAGCGGAATCTCTCTTTTGCAACAGGCATTTCTGAAAGTAAAATACCCGCTGCGGGTTTAAAAAGGTGTAGCTTGCGCAGCTCAAATTCCTAATGAGCATTAAAAAACTCGCCCGAAAACCCCTGGCTAGAGTTCCATGTGCTTTGGAAGTGCACAAGGCAATGTGTTGTGGTAACGAGGAGTTTACATTTGTTTGATACCAGCTCTTCTCCCTTATCAGCTCGACACGTGCGTAACAAAAGTATGTGGACACCTGAAATTTTTGTCCTGCAACATTGCCTTTGAATTTTGCGATATGGGACCTTCATTGCTTGAATTCCTCATAAGCTCTGTTTACCTCTATAAGTCCTATCACAATCTCTCTATCACTATCGAGGGAAATATAAACCTCACTCATGGCAGAGTGAGGTTCAGTTTTTATGGAATTGCGTGTGTTCTCTAGGTTAGCGACAATAAAGATCTATGTTAGCTCGTCGTAGACCACAAGCCTTCACAACACCCTTACACTACAGTGGCTAAACAAAAGTATGTGGACACCTGAAATTTGCCCTGCAACATTGCCTACTTTGGATTGCGATACTGGCGACCTTTATTGTTTGAATCCTCGTACGCTCGTTTACCTCTATAAGTCCTATCACAATCTCTCTATCACTATCGAGAGAAATATAAACCTCACTCATGGCAGAGTGAGGTTCAGTTTTATGGAATTTGCGGTTGTGTTCTCTATATTACCAATACAAGAAGCTATGTTACTCGTCCGTGGACGCACAAAGCTTCACAACAGCCCCTTATCAAGCTACAGTGCGTAAACAAAAGTATGGGACACCTGAA